ATGTCTCTCGACCACCTGATGGCGTCCAACACCATGAGTTGCCGCATCAGCCGAGCGTAGCGTTGACCAATCCCGCATTCTCTCAACACTCACTCGTTACTGGGGTACCATGAGCCCAAGTCTCCAACGAACAGCCTGTGCGTCTAAACCCGGTAATGCTTAGCTCTCAAGGTTTCGGCCAGAGGGCTGTATTTCTCCACCTTTCGAGATCAGGCATCGTGGAAGGCTGGGGTCCTGTTTTCGAAGGGCACTGTATCAACACTGCAATATAAGCCCAGGTTTAGTGGGACTCAAGTCAGCAGAGCCTGAGTTTGAGAATCCAGGGCTTGAGTATCTACATTGATTGCCAACTCTAGGTTAGGAATTTTTTTAACTCTCCAAAAATGTGGCCATTCTGTCCTTTTCTTCATGGTGCAGTGCAGGAAAACTTCCACCCTACATGTTACAGGAAGTTTGAACAGTCTCCCAGCACATCCTGCCATGCTGTCATTTTGGTCTGTGTGCTTCCTAGCAACCGGAGCCAGCAATATGCAGGAGTCAACATTTGAAGAACTTCTCTTGCTTGAGCTTTCACTTCTGTGGAAATGAGCAGAGCTTCCATGAGGTGTTGGTGGATATTCTGGTGGTGTTTCCTGACCCACTGAAGGCATGTGGCAGAGTAGGTGGAGGAGGAGGAGGACACAGACATGGCAGACTCGAATTGGCTGATGCTCCTCATGACACTTGGTATATCTGCTGATGCCCCCTACATAAACCAGTGCTTACGTAGACCGTAAGCATGGACTGGGAGACAACCTCCTCTTGCAGACCTGGTATGACCAGCAGTGGATCCAGAGCTTTTTCATGAAGAAAACTACACTTCTGGAGCTCTGTGAGCAGCTTTCCCCAACCCTCCAGCATAAAGACGTGTATGAGGCAGTCATGCTGCCCCAGAAACGAGTTGGAGCTGGATGCAACCGGGCAACAGAAGTTAGAGATGCTTTGTGCTGCCTCATTAGGGACTTGCATGGACCAGTGGAAGAGGGGGGAATAGTAGCTTTTATGAATGTGCTTGTGGGGGATGGGTTGATTGCTTGAGAGGGGTTTCACTGCTTGGAGGGTTGATTGCCATGTAATATATTTATGAATCACCTGACCATTTATCAAATCGGGGGTAGAGGAAGGTTGATTCACAGTATGAATTGATGTAAGGAAGTGATTGATGTATGGATTGATGTGACTAATTGTACTGAGAAACAGTGTTTGTATACAAATTCCCAATTGTCCCTGATCACGTGTTCACCTTTATTATCTGAAATACACATTGTAAGAGGTGATGCAGTGATAGCAATACACTTTATAAACAATTATTAGAAAAGTAAAACATTAACCGCCTGCCAGGCAGACCAGCTGCCATTTCCACACCAAAAGACCAGTAACAACAGAATCTCAAAAAAAGTGCATGAACAAATGCAAACAGTAAAACCGTATATAAGACAGAGCCACTACTGTTTCATGTCCCTGGCCCCCCATTCTCCTTTCCATTCCTTCCATGTTTGCTGTCCGCTTGGCACCAGGGGAGGAGAGTGGAGGCATCCACAGGGGAGGGGGTTAGTATGGAAGACTGCATGGGACACAATTGCCCTGCCCAGCTGCTCATAAGGTCTGACTGCGTGGACCACCCAGGCATGGAGTTGTCCAAGGTTTTCCTGGACTGCATCCCAGGGTACCATGCAGGGGACTAAGGCTGTGGTGTAGGTGCAACAGGAGCCAGTGCTCTTTTGACCATTAGTGATAGCAGCCGCTCCAACAGTGCTTTCTGCTGAGCTCTGGCATCCTCCCTTAGCTGCCATTCCTGGGGGTTCCAGGAACTGCGAAGGAAGTGCCCGCTCTCATGCTGAAACCCTGTCCTCAAGTTGCGCAGCCAGCCTTTCCTCTCTCCTCTCGCCCATGCCTTTCCTCTCGCTGTCAGTCCCTCTGTCTTTGGTACTGGGCCTGCTTGTTGGCCCTGTCCAGAACTTCAACCACAAGTTCATCATGGAAATGTTTCCTCTTGGACCGGTCCTTAAAGGTGCATTGGTCCAGGCTTCTGCTGCAGTGTAGGGGAGCTGTGAAGGTGCTGCGAGCTGTAGAGGGCAAAGGGCCTTGGAATAGGACAAGACACACAGAGTTAGTGTCAGTGCAGAAAAAATCCTTGTGGAATTTCAAGGACATGAAATGTTACTGTTGAAAACTGAACTTCAGTATACTGTGAGGGCTGCTACAAACCACAGAAGCTCCCTGGACGCAGCCGCGTTCATCACAGTGAAAGAAGTGCAGAGACAATGGTAAGTTAAAAATCACAGCTGCTTTCTATTTTCCTGAAAATTGCAAAACAGATTTGTAAATGGAACACATTTCCACAGTCCCTGGCTCCCCCAGTTCACTGTTTTCAGGCGGCACTTTATAGCTACGCCGCTGAGTGGTTGCAGAGTAGCGTCCTTATAGGCATGGCAATGTAAGGATATTATTTTTAACAAACAGGAAAGATCTGTGCCTTTCCAGTAAAAATTCACTTTTCAAGGCGTTTTTTTACTGTTTGCATTTCCCAGTTGCCATTTTGAATTCCACATGGTGGAAGTGGGCGGGTAGGCTGGGGGGACACCAAGGTGCTGGCATTAATCCATCATCAGCAGATATATGTTGCTAGCCGGGGCTTGTAATAACTTTTGCATTGGTTCATAGAATGGAAATCGCTCCCATTTCTGCTCTGGGGCAGCTTCTGTTTCTGATGCCAGTTCCACAGTGGGCTGTTCCTCGGGGTGGGGTGGGGTGGGGTGGGATGGAGGAGAGCCTCAAAAAGTGGCTCAGAGTACAGCCCCGGCATATGCTGCAGCTGCTCCTGTGGCAAAGCTTCCTCTAGGACTGGTGTCAGCAGCAGAGTCACTTCACCAGCTTCATTCAGCACCTGCTGCTGGCTCCCATCAGTTCCCGTGCTGGATTCTGGGGCCAGCAGGTCACCATCCTTGCTAACCCGGTCATCATGCAGCACCATTGGCTCCGTGCTCAGTGCACTGCCCAGCATCTGGTCAAATGCCTCATAAAATGGGCATGATGTCTGTGAGTTGCCCAAGGTGCAGTTTTGGTCCCTGGTTTTCTGGTACTTGGTCCTGAGCTGCTTAATTTGTTCCCTGTACTGGTTACCAGTCCAGTAAATTCCCAACACTGCCAGCTTCTTCCTTATTGGCTGGTGTGCCTGGTCATTCCTGGTACTCTTATTGCTGTCCAGTTTTGCTGGCCTCGCACCTGAGATTAACCACAATCTGGCTGTGCACCCGCAACCATGAAGCAGGGTGCTTTGTGGAGGACTGCTTCTGATCGGTCTCCATTGCAAATACAGAAGGGTCTCCAAAGGTGTGTTTGCAGCTCAGCGGTTAGGGGGGAAAAAAAAAGGAAGAATTAAACACTGACTTGCTGAGCTGCTGCACTACAGCAAGGGAGCTTGCTTCCATTTCCGTGAAGTCGCTTGGTGATTCTTAGGAGAGAGAGGACAGAGGAAGTTGGCCCATGGGATTGTGGGATACTTTTGGTGGACTCCCAGGACCTGAGTCTGGGGGAGGGTGTCTACATTGCAAAGCAATAGTGCTTGAGCCCTGGGTCCCAGTTTGACTTGAGCTCAAACTCTCCATCCTCATGTGGTTCTAGGACCCTGGGTCTAAGCATGAGTCCAAGATGGAAGAGGGGTTTAGGCTTAAGCCTGAGTCTGAGCCTGGGCTTACATTGCAGTGTAGACATACTCTGTGGGTGTTGACAGTGGGTCTAGCTTGTGTCCTCCCCCCCCCAAAACCCTTAGCCCGGTGAGGTTTGCATATGCATTTAAAAAAACTAGTTGGTGTGCACTGCTGGAAGGCACTCAGATACTATGATGGTAAGTGTGGTATAAGAACCTATGCAGAACAGGATATAGTGCAGAATATACCAACAGAGGCAGGTAGATTTCATTTTGGAGACTTTTCCGTTTGAGAATCTGTGAGGAGTCATTCTTTTTAATACAGAGTACGTTCCCTATCCAGGTTATAACAATTTTCAGGTCAGGCACGTTTTTGGGCCTATACTGTCTAGTCGTGTAGGGGTATGGAACCCTATTAATTCTGGGGATCACATGCTGTCAAGGAATTGCCAGGTGTTGGAATCTGCCATTCATGTTGCTGTGGTTGGGGCAAGTCCTACAGACCTTACACAAGTAAAACTCCTTTGGGGAGCTGGGGAAAAGACTACAGGATTTAGTGCATAGCAAACAAATCCAATGTACTCTTCAGTATAAGTCCCTGGTACTCTTTGAGGGGGAAGAGTAGATTATGTTTTGCATTCCCAAGAGAAGACATTTACATGGAGACAGTGTTAGCTTTTATGGGGGTGTTCCCTTCACAGTTTATACCGATTTAGCAACTGTATTTGCATTCCCCAGGGTAAATGAGTTCTATGTGTCTCTTAAGACAAAGAGTGACCTTTGTTGGTTAGTCTAGATTTGTGGGTAATCAAAGAGAAAGTGACAGATCACCAGTAATAAAATGTGAGATTTACTTTTGAGTTAAACTAATGAATTTCCAGCTCTTACTGAAAATGTGATAGAAGCAATGTCAGTGATACCATAATGATTAGCATAATTTACATACCGTGAGGTGTGAAAATTAGCTTCATACTGTATGTTGGTTAAAGACTAACTGCAATCTGGCAATAGGCCAAGCTACTGTTTTAGTTGGATGGTCAATCTGGGGGAGGGATAGCTCAGTGGTTTGAGCATCGGCTTGCTAAACCCAGGGTTGTGAGCTCAAACCTTGAGGGGGCCACTTAGAGATCTGGGGCAAAATCAGTACTTGGTCCTGCTAGTGAAGGCAGAGGGCTGGACTGAATGACCTTTCAGGGTCCCTTCCAGTTCTATGAGATAGATATATCTCCATATATTAAAAGTGCAGTGGAAAATAAGACTTGCTTTTGATTTTTCTCATTTAAAAACTCTGCCGTGGCTTGGCTTCTCTTAGGTTCCACTTACGGAAGCTGTGGATCCAGTGGATTTGGAAGATTACCTTATTACACATCCGCTTACAATGGATTCCGGACCTTTGAGGGACTTGCTTGAATTTCCTCCAGATGATATTGAAGTTGTGTACAGTCCTCGAGAATGTAGGACTCTTGTGTCAGCTGTACCTGAAGAGAGGTAAGGTGCAGAAAACTGCAGGCCTGACCTGCAAACACATGTATCTTTTCACATGGAAGTGGACCCCATTGAGTTCAAAGGAACTGCTTGGGGTATAAGTGTTTGTGAGGTGGGGGGCAAATTTTTCTTTTGTAATAACTTCTTCCATGTGCATGAAAAAGATTGTACTTTGATATAGTATGAAGTGAAAAGTCAGTGTGTCATTAGAAAAATAAAGTTTTTTTTATTTGAAGAGATTGTCTTACTCTTTTACAGTGAAATGGACCCTCATGTGAGGGATTGTGTAAGAAGTTACACAGAAGATTGGGCAATTGTGAACAGAAAGTAAGTTACAATGTGATATTTATCATTTTGATTTAAGGTCCTGATCTTTCAAGGTGGATTCTGGTATGAGCAAACTGAATAATAACTGCAGACCTACATTTTCAGAAGTGACTAGGATTTTGGGTGCCTCTCCATATTTGGCTTCCTAAACCACGTGAAGTGGATGCTCAACATGTTCTGAAAATCAGGCCCTTCTAAGGTATCTGATGTTCCATGCCCAGAATCTGAAGCACCAGAAATCCCTTAGTCGCTTTTGAAAATTTAGGCAACTGTCATCAGTGATAACTTCCTTTAGGTATTGGATGGTAGGAAAAAATTAGGGAATATAAACATGTAGGTGAAATCTCTCTCTCTCACTCTCTCGGCATCAGTTTCTTACAAAAAGAAAATAGGTTTGGGAAGGGTTAGTGTACACTTTTGGTGGGTGAGCATCTCCGTAGTAAAGATGTCTAAAGTAATAATCGTGTTCTCAAAGAGGTTTTGCAGTTGTACATTACTTTAAAAATGCTCAGTAATATTTAAACTCTACCAACATTTACAGAATGCTTTGACTTAACTGTTGAGAGCCTGTGCATAAGTTGATTAATTTATGCAAATCAATAGGAAAATGTCTGGGTAGCGTTTCTTTTAAAACTCTGTGTTTTGAATGACTAAAGTTCTGGCGACTATAAAAGACTCGCAGCCAAGGAGCAAGTGATCCATGTGATGCTACATCACCTGAAAATGAAACTACAATAGCTGCTGCTATGTCCTTGTGGCAGCTGCTACAGTTCACTGAATTTAATATTGTCCCAAGCACCACTCTAGGGGATGCTGAAGACTTTCTTTTCAGAGATAGCATAACCTAATAAAAACAAGGTCTGTAATTCTTTAAAAAAAAAAAAGAAGGGGGGCTCTATTCACTCACAGTGTTTGTAAGCAGATAGTCTAGTCTCCGCCATATACTGGGGCAGCATAACCCACATAGCCAGCAGACACGCATCACAACATTTAACAAAGGTTTTCACTGTTTCCAAATGCGCATGTCTAAATGATGCCCTCCCGTATGTGGGTGCACCAGAGAGGTAAAGAGTGCAAGGAGTACTACCCTGCATATCCAGCCACTCATACAGGGAGCAAGCAAGTCTGACTCCCAACAGTGGGTGTGTAGAATAGACATAGCCTCTGGAGGTTAGTAGCATAAAATTAGGTGTGTCTGTTTGGGCTGAGGATGAGGCTTGGCTCTCACTCCCACCCTGTGGACCAAGGTGGCTGCCCTGAGGAAAGCGCTCCCTGTACAGATTAGCATGCCGAGTGCCCAAGAGACATTGTGTCTTTCAAAGGCATAACGTCTCCAACCTCTGGCATGGAAGTGGTGGGCCTCCTCCCTCTCCTCGGCACAACTCAGTCTTGCTAGAGGCATCACTGTGCCCTTTGAGACCAGCAGTAGCACAGACAAAATTACCCTCCCGGATTGTGGTCCAGCTGATGCATACTAGCCACCAACTGCTGTAGGTAACATCTCTCCTCACCCCTCCATACCCCCCCCCAAACCCCTGCAGAGGGTATGATCTATAGCCAGAGCAAAGTGGTGGTGGTGGTGGTGGTGGGGGCCTTGGAAGGTGGCCAGCTGCCCACATTAAGGGCCTGATCCTACAAGTGTGGAGCAGCTCCTGGAAGTGCTGAGTGCACCCAGTTCCCCTTAGCAGTTGAGAGTGCTCTACACCTCCAGGAACTGATAGGAATCTTGCAGATTGACCCCTCAGTGTAGTCCCTACAGTGCAGACGAAACACTGGTGGGAGACAGTGGGTGTCTTGCCTGAATAAGGACTGCAGGGTTGTGTGTGAAGCAGAAGAGTCTGACTGCTTAATTGGGAAGGACCGAGTTTGTCGCGTGCTCTGTGGGTTGTCAGGGTTGTGACTGCTGCAGGGGCAGCTTGCTGTACATGAAGAGGGGCAGTAGCAGACTTGTTCGTAAGCAGTCCCTTCAGGTCCGTGGTTAGAGTGGCATTGACCTAGCTTTGGTTGGAGCTAAATCCAGCCCTTCTTATCTAGATTAGAAGGATGCTATAAAAAGGGGCTTCTGACATGTCTCCCCTCTGACCCTGCAGAACATAACTGGGGAGAAATCCCTTATTCCAATATCTTTGTTTGCAGTTCTCTGTGCCCAGCGCATTTAGTGGGCACTTGGTTCTCTTGAGTGCGTGCTCTAATTGTGCTGGAAATAGTAAACCCATTTTCTCTCATTGTCTGAGAAAACAATAGGTTTTCCTAATGCTGACCTTTGCAATAATTTGCTACCCTACCCTGGAGGCAGCTATCCTAGAAAGCATTGAATGAAGCTATGATTAAAACAAATTTTACTTTTATCAGCTAAGCAGTGACTGAAATGTAATACTTTTGAGTCTTTGCTTTGCACATTCAGATAATCCGGATAAAACACTGTGTAGCTGACTGATAAATCGTAATAGTACCAGGGCCTGTATTATTCAAATTTCATTGAAATTTGAGGTCACTTAGCATATTACTCAGCACTTCACAGGATCAGACCTAATTTGGCCCATAGCTTTCAAGATATCCATGTTTTCCCTAGCCTGGTTATCTGTGAAACCCAAAGTCTGTTTCATCCCCACACTTTTAGCCAGTTTAACCCACTCCACCTTTAGGTCCAGCTTTACAATCACCATATTTTCCACTCAGGTTACTTGGGCCTACATAGGATTTCCTTTCAAAGCTAGTCAGTACTGTTTTGTATGTTAATGGAATCATATTGGTGTGGAGTGACATGAATCATTCCCAGTCCAGTGCAGAGCAAGAAGTGACTGAGAACAGGAAATAAACCTGGATCATCCACACAGCAGCACACATAATTACAAGCTTACTGTTAAGGATGACAACAAATATTTCTGGGAGTGATTTATAATTTAAAATGGTGCTGTGGTAATACTGTATATGCTCTATTATGCTTATTCGGGGATGGGGTTGAGAAGGATAAAAATTACTTGAAATATTCTGTTTTTAATAGATATCACAAACTGGGAACCGGATTTAATCCCAACACATTAGACAAACAGAAAGAGAGGCAAAAAGGGCTCCCCAAACAGATCTTCGAGTCGGATGAGGCTCCAGATGGCAACAGTTACCAGGATGAACAAGTAATGTGCCTTAAAACCCTGCCACGTAAAAGCTACTTGATAGCCATGTTTTAAAAATACGACTCCTTCCCGATTGCATTATTAATTACATTTAATTTGTTAAATCTCAGGATGACCTTAAAAGGCGTTCAATGTCAATAGATGATACTCCACGGGGCAGCTGGGCATGCAGTATTTTTGATCTGAAGAACTCCCTTCCTGATGCTCTTCTTCCAAACCTACTTGACCGAACCCCAAATGAGGAAATCGACCATCAAAATGATGACCAGAGGAAGTCAAACAGACACAAGGAGCTTTTTGCATTGCATCCAGCACCAGATGAGGTATTTTGAGTGAACGTGGAGTGAACTAGTCTAGAAAGAAAACATAGGGAATAAGGGGAATGTGGGACAAAGTCAAATTACCATGGATTTAAAGTACTAAGGAAATAAGATCATCTCAATTTAATTTCCATAAAACTGTATTCCAATTTGCCTGAAGTAGCGTATGTTTTGAGCACATGAACTAGCCAAGGATATTACTTTCCAAAGACCCTTTTTCTTTATAGATCTCCAGTCCCCTATTATGCAGATACCCTAAATTAAATCCCTTAGCTCTTATTTATAGTCACAGTGAATGCAACATGCAGTTAAATCTTGAGGATTAAATTGTTACTTATGTCTTAGAAGAAAAAAAATCTGAACCTGGATTAGCTTTTTAATGATACGATTGGAGTGTAGCAATGACCCGCGTGTAAATGACTGCTTCTGTGACAAATTCCAGGAGGAGCCTATTGAACGGCTTTGTGTCCCAGAAGTACCCAAAGAACATTTTGGTCAGAGACTTCTTGTGAAGTGTTTGTCTCTTAAGTAAGTATTATTTTAATATAGGGTCAGATTCAGCTGTTATTCCAATGTTTACCGGGAGTAACTCCATTGGTTACCCCTTACTTAAAGGGACACAGTTAAGATTGTTCTTAGGCTTAAAAAGGCATGTATTGTATTGTCATTAGTTGTGCAATATTATGGAACTCACATCAGCCAATTTTATGTGTCAATCCTTTGTGGTAAGTGTGTGAAACAGAAAACACTTATGTTTCCCTGGCTCACTGTACATCCATTGTAGACAAATCTGTGGATGTGCCCTAACACCTATCACGAGCCCACACATGCTCGATTTGTTACACTGGGCCTTGGAGTAAGTCAGGCATTTTGTTTTTTGCCCTGTAGCAAAGGTTGTTTTATTTATTAATTTTTTTAAATAATCATAATAATGAAAACATTGCTGCAGATTTTTAAGATGAGGCTTTACAGTGTGAGACAACTGGCAGGGTTATGTGAAGGTTTAGGCTCAACAACCTTGACTTGTGTCATTTTAAGAGCTAAGTCTTTATACACTTAGCAAGCTTTAACTGGAGGAATAGAAACCTGTTAAACAAGTTTAATGAAGTGAAGCTCCTGAATATAGGGTTACCTGCAGCTGGATCATTGCCTATAACTCTTCTCTAATAACACAAGGTAAAATTTTACTGTTATTCCCTTAGAGAAATAAAGTACAAAACTGATTTTCCACACTGCTGTATTCAGATTCCGTGTCCTCAGTTGGGTCAAGCCTTCTTGTTAGAGAGCTCAAGTTAGACTACATTGACCCTCATAACTGAGACATAGGTGGGACTTACCTCCTGCAGGTAAAACACTTTGGGACCTGATTTAGCCTTAGAGATGAGCTGCTATTTCTGCCTTTTCTTTTACTGGGTGATGTCATGAGCTAGAACAACATAATATGCCGTAGCAGTTAAGCTACTTCTCCAAAAATAGCTGTATTTAGTGGAAATAAGTTAGTGGACATGCTGCTGTCTGATACAGGAGTCCAGATTGCTGCTTATCTACTAAAATATGTCTTTGCTCTTGGGACCATTCGTTCATTTCAAAAGCATATACCCCAGGAATCAGACAGGTTCTGAAATGGCACACTGGGTCTAACTAGAGAAGTGAACAATTACACAACAGTAACTAACTTGAACAATCATTTGCTCTGTTCCCTTGCCAATTATTTTTCACATATTTGTGTTGTGAATACTCAACTGGCTTGACTGCATGACCATACAGCAAAGTCATAACTTTGAATAGTGGCATCAAACTTGTTTTTGGAATGAATGTAATGTCATCAATGGAGTATCATGACACCTCTGATGAAAGATGGACACTTGATTATTATTCACACCCATGATTATTTGTACTTTGTTAGACTCTTTAATCCGGGGATTTCAAAGATGCTATCAAATATAATAATATAATACCATCTGTAATAATAGATAGTATATATTACATATTATATATTTACAAATATAAACTACCATAAGGTAGGTGCTATTTTCCCCTATTTTACAGATGGGAGGTTATCAGCCCAGAGAAATTGACTTGTCCAAGACCACATGTTCAGTCAGAGCTGGATCTGGGAATAAGAGATCTAGGTGGCAAATTCTCATGGAAGAAAAAAATTCAGATGCCAAGCGTTTTAAAAAAAAGTTGATGCAAATCCTTAGAAAAATTGTTTTTACTTTTCTAACCAGCCATGGAGCCGGTCAGGAAATTTAGCCAAAAATGTTTCCATTGAAAATTGGAAACTTTTTCAGATGAAAATGGTTGTGATTCAGAAATTCTACCAGTTCTAGGTTAGCTGTTTTGAGTCCCAGTCTCCTGCTCCAACCACTAGACACACAGCAGCCCCTCCATATATCTTTTGAAAAAATTATCTTTTGATAATACTCAAGCATGGCAAGAAAAGCTATACAAAGAATGAGTGATAGATTAATTTCTGTTTGAAAATTTTCCCCAGCATGAAAGAGATCCCAACGGAGCCTGATTCTTTTTACAGGCCCATGTGTTCAACCAAAGACAGAATTTGACTCTAAAGCATCCATTTTTACTGTGGAAGCAATAGATGATTGGACTATTTTTGTGTGTTTTTTGCAGGCAGGCAGGGAGGGCCAGGTGGGTTATTTCCTGGGACGGGCACAATTCTTGTCTATGCTGATTAGAAGGGATTATGTTTCAAAGTGAGTGTCAAACATCAAACCTCTGGTATGCTGTGATACCAATAAATAAAAGTCTTTGAGCTGATTTCATACTTTGAAACAAAGTCAGCATTCAGTCTGATCACACACTGCAGAAATGCAAACCAAAAGGCAAGCATTGCAAACAATACATTGAGCCAAATAGGAGCCAACAAATAAGCCAGCCCTGCTTCCCTCTATCTAAAAGGTAAAGGATAATTAGACTGTCCATACAGCTTCATGTGGTACCTCTATTCTGCTATATTTAGTCTTTTGAGAATATTCCTCTTTAGTAATATACAGCCTGTTCCAGAATGTCCTTCTAATGAAGAGTGAGCCTCGTTCCTTTGATTTTTATCCTTGTAATTATCTATTTTTGCTGTATATAGAAACATACACTTAACATTTAAAAAAAAAAAAGATTTCTGTTTACGTAGTTGTCAACAGTAATTGGAAACCAAAACACAGAAACCAAACCCCAAGATCTTACTTCTAACAGTTCCTCTTTCAGGAAAGTCAGGGACACTTCCTGATAACTAGTGTTGGTAAGTGACAGTGTCACTTTCAAAATAGCTTGACATTGTCAATGAGCCGTTTTGATTATGTCTATGTGTACAGTGAATTCTTGTCACAGAAGCTAAGGTTCCTCCATTTCCATTGGTCCAGCTATATCAGTTAATCATTGCTTTTCTTCGAGGAAGTCACTAGACTGCTTTCCTTTGCTTCCAATAGTACCAGTAGAAGATAACCAAATACATACCTTGAGTTTAGGATTCTGATCCTACACCGCTGCAAATCAACAAGACCAGGATCAGCCCCTGGAATTCTTCCCGTATCAGTTGCTCTTGTGAAAGAAGAAATAGTCTAGTTTTCATTGCCTGCTGACAGCTGTTTCAGATGCCACTTGTGTATCTTTTCCTGAAATGCCAACTGAGGAAGAGAGAGAGAGAAGCCTGACAAAAAAGGATACTATTAAGTTTCATATATCCAGTAGTCAGACTGAGCTAATGTTGGCATGAGTGTCTGCAGAATTTGTTTTCATGTGAAAGAATTCTGTAATAAGATTCCGGTCCTTTTTGGGTAGGTCTCCACAGCAAAGAAAAACCCGCGGCTTGGGCTGTGGAGCTGTTTCATTGCTGTGTAGACTTCCGGGCCCTGGCTGGAGCTTGGGCTCTAGGACCCTGCAAGGTTTTTGGTTTTGAGTCAAACCCAAGTCAAATCAATTTATTTATTTGTCTTTTCCCTTAAAGATTTGAAATTGAAATTGAACCCATTTTTGCAAGTTTGGCTTTGTATGATGTTAAAGAAAAGAAAAAGGTATGTAGTTATTATTTTTTACTTACACAGTGACATGTTTGTGTATGGGCATTAAAGATGTGTCCAAAGAACTTACGGTTGAAGGCCTTGATCCTGCAAATACTTCCTACCATGAAGCCAATGGGAGTACTTATGATAGGAAGTATGACATCCAGTAGTAAAGTATAGGTTTCAGTTGCACTACTCGTGTATTTAAACATGTACATTTTGCAGGCTCAGGATCCAAGTTAAGGTATTACAGAAATTTCAAAAAGGTGCATTCTCTGTCTTTAATGACACATCAATTCAAACATACATGATTTTCTAAAAATATGCAAGAAGCTTAAATCTGAATACCTGTAAAGGGACACTGTCAGCTAGTTTCAGGTTCAAAATGTATGAATGGAAAACTTAAACTAAAAAATAAAGATTTTTTTTAAACCTTTTTATTTTTTTGGGTGATTCAAACATTGCCCTGGCATGTTGTCAATCCAAATAACATTTTGCTAGTGCATGAGAATAGGAAACTGAAACTAGAAACAAAACTGACTGGTCTGTTTTTGCAGTTCAAGTTGAGTGAAATGCAAAGTGAATGGAGTGTAAGTAGTGAGAAGTAAGCTAGATTTTGAAAATTCTTTTGGTTTTCATAATCCAAGATATTGTTAGTAACCAAGGTAAAGATATTTTTAAAAAGAAAGTATATGTTTTGACACTGTCCCTCAAATGCTTGAATGTCTCAAATAGTCTTTTAAATGTGAGTAGGTCGACTTTGTGAACTTGGCTTAATTTTTCAGTCAACATTTCACAGGCCAGTTTTGATCATCTTATCATTTCAGTCATTTTCTTTCATGTGGTATGTTCTTGAAGTGGCTTTAGTGACCTCTGCTGTTGATAATGGCATGTTACTCCTTTTGGCATTGGAATCTTACTACAGTCACTAGTATTTGGTGTCTCTGTGGAATGTTTCAATGTATTAAGGTTACTCAGCCCCGTGCCATGCTATTTTTGTGTTTCAGCCTAGCCTGGGGAACTACTCTTATAGATAATTTCCTTCTCTGACACTTTGAAACTGTTGTAATAGTTAATCAAGAGATCTGAACCATGTTTGAGAGAGGGACAGTAGGTTTTATAAATAACTTACGTTGTTCTTTTCTTTTTGCTTTCCTCTTCCCCCTATTGTCTGCCTTTATGAAACTGATTATTTTGGACTTCAGACAGTATGGATTGGTAGTGTTGTTTGCTAAATAAGTGATATCAACAGGGGCCATTGTGCAGTCTTTTTCAGAAATGTTTTCAAATTGCCGGGGGTGTTCCTGAAGAGTTCACTATAAAGTGTAACAAACATCTAGAGCTAGCTAACATCTCCCTTAGATTTCAGAGAACTTCTACTTTGATTTAAACTCTGAACAAATGAAAGGAATGCTGCGTCCTCATGTCCCACCTGCTGCCATTACCACTCTGGCCAGATCAGCCATCTTTTCTATTACTTATCCCTCTCAGGATGTCTTTCTGGTAATAAAGGTAAGAAGTGTGTGTGTGATGTCATTGTTCCTTGTTTATTTTAAATAAAAAACTAGAACCTGTAGACCACACAGACCTGTGACTCAAATGTATTGAGGCAAATTTTGTCCCTTAGTGATGGTCATGGGGTATTCCCATTTCAAATGATCTTTTTATGTTAAACATTTTTGTATCAGACACTCTCCAATGGAGAAGTAGGCTGGTTTTAATATTGAAAACCCTAGAAAACAGCCTAGTGCATAGCTGCTTTTAGGGACTGCTATTTTCTGTGAAAGGAAACAGTTTGATGGAGCGTTAAAATGATACAGAAGCTACTGGGTAAAATTTTTAAAAAGATGCATATGAACCTAAGTACCATATTCAAAAGTGACCTAGGGCCAGATTTTCAAAGATATTTAGGCACCTAAAGATGTAGATAGGCACCTAGGAGCGTTTTCAAAACCATCTTATCAGGAGACTCCCTCTGAAGTTCTACTGAGCCGCAGATACCTAGAGACTTAGGCATTGCTGCACTTGGTGTTGCAATGCCTAACTGATTTCAGAGCCTAAATCTCATTTTGAAAAGTGGGAGCCTTGGACACTTGGGAGCCTAAATCCCATTGACAATTAAATAGAATTTTTTAACTGTGACCTAAGTATGTAGTGTGCCGATAATGTTGCATTTCATCCCACGATTCTATTTCCATTTTTTGCCTAGTTAGTGTATCATTTTAACAGTTTCTCCTTTCACACACAGTTGAAAGGGGAGAGTTTCCTTAAATAGACTTCAACGTTATCATGCACAGAGGCTTCAGTATTCTAAAAAGTATTGTGATTTGGTATTGAGTGTATATTTGAGATGCTAATGCATTTCATTCATAGTTACTTATACAATGAAACAGCGTATATGTTAATGAATACATCCTAATATGCTGTCCATAGCAGACTTTACAAAAGCAAATATAAGATGCAAAAAACTAAAACGGCAAACAAATTGAAACAACCATGGTGGTTGATACACAATATTACTAGTGCCCAGGGAAAGGTAGATCAAAGTACTTGTCTCTAATCCTCTTATCTTTAAATACCAAATGTTTTGAAACCTTTCCCTCACTGCTGTTCCTCAGGGAAATGTATCTCCGACCATTACACAAAAAACCCCGAAACAAAACAAAAAAACCCTCCTATTTCTAGTTTACGGAACTTTTTCCGTAAGCTCAGATTTGCGTCCGTCGGGTTTACGTAACTCGGGGAGCATCTGTATAGGGCTCTATCTTCAAACCTGGCCAGTAATTGAAAGAACAATATATGTCATGTAAGATATCTAAGTATCAGATCTGTGAGCATGATCAAGTAGATAAACATCTAAATTATATACATTGCACCTACTTTTTATTGGCACCCGCAAAATTGTGGTTCCCTGGAGGGAGGCTGGGATAAGGCCAGGTGGAAAATTAGACCCATAAAATGTAGTGTTGGTAACTTCAGAAATAAGGAATATGTGAAGATAAAGAACATTATTCCTCCTCTCATTTGGCTAGAAGAACACCCCAATGGGAGGGACATTCATCCCCTAGCTCGCTGAAATTGGGAATTGGATAAATTCTCTACTTCAATCCCAGCATGAATTCTTCCCCAGTGGAGAAAAGGGAATGTGACACGCCCTTTCTGTTTGCAGCCATTGGTTACATCACCCTATAGCAAGCTATGTTTTAAAAATTGATTCTGAATGTATGCACAGATAGATTAAGCTTTTGGAAGTAAGTTAATATGGTGGCTCAGTCAAAATTGTCCCAAGAAAGATCAAGGAGTTTGGTAGCTTAGGTCATATTCTGATCCCAGATTTGCCAGACATGTCATTGCATATCTTGTAAAATCAGGGTCTACATTTGTACAGTAGCTGATTTTTACAAGATGAGAGGCAGAGATATACACCATGTAACTGAGATCAGGATCTAGCCAGAAGAGCTTGTGATTGCACACAAGGGCTTGTAAACCCAGTGAGGTAAGCACAGCTGGTAGCCATTTATTTAACAGTGGTATTTTGATTTTTATCGTGTGATAATAGTAGTAAATAAGCTAGAAAAATAGCTTGCCTTGTCAGTTGAATTTTCACATAGGTGTTAGCTTTGTTATGTATTATGACAGGGGTCGGCAACCTTTCAGAAGTGATGTGCCGAGTCTTCATTTATTCACTCTAATTTAAGGTTTCACGTGCCAGTAATACATTTTAACGTTTTTAGAAGGTCTCTTTCTATAAGTCTATAATATATAACTAAACTATTGTTGTATGTAAAGTAAATAAGGTTTTTAAAATGTTTAAGAAGCTTCATTTAAAATTAAATTAAAATGCAGAACCCCCTGGACCGGTGGCCAGGACCCGGGCAGTGTGAGTGCCACTGAAAATCAGCTCGCGTGCCGCCTTCGGCACGCGTACCATAGGTTGCCTACCCCTGTATTATGAAATCACTAGCTATGCATCTGAACATTTCTAACTAACCATCCTAGCTAATCTGGGCATGCAAAGGATGATGGTAAATATTCTTCTTTATTATTTGTATTATGGTACCACCTAGAAGCCCTGGTCATGGGCCAGGCCTCATTGTGCCAGGCGCTGTACAAACACAGAACAAAAAGATGCCCCCATAGAGCTTACAGTCTAAGTAATGGCAAGTATGCAATGCTTAGCTTGTGAAGGCAGGGATTCTTTTTAAACCAATTGATATGTCCCCACCTGTCTTCACTGCTCATTTGTGTGATCCACCTGTTTTGTCTCATCTCCTATATTTCAGGCTCTTTGGGCAGGGACAGTATTTTTCTATACCTTTGTACTGGGCCTTGCATAATGGGACAGCAGTCTGGTTGAGAACTTTAGGTGCTACTGCGATATAGATAAAATAACATTGAGAAGAACCAAATTCAGAAGAATCATGAAGTAAGAATCTGACACTTAACTCTTTAAAAGCCCTTGGCAATTGGCTAAACTTTTAGAAGGCTGTAATTTGCACCTTCATTTTTGCACTTGCAGCTGAATTGTGGGTGAAAATTGGGTTACTCACACTTCCGACTATCCAGTCAAGGAGCATGTTCTTTGATTTACACCTACAGTTAAATTTGCAGGTGCAAAAGGGAAACAAGCTTCAGCTCTTTTGAATATCTATTCTTCTGAACATGTCTAAGCTACATAGAGTGTTCAATTAATTTGCCATTCTCTGATAAATACATGTCCCTGTCCTCACTAACATCCCTTGTTTCTTCACAGCTGGAAAAAGTATTACAGCAGGGGGATATTGGCGAATGTGCAGAGCCCTATATGATTTTTAAAGAAGCTGATGCGGCAAAGGTAAGCATTTTTGGAAGTTTAGAGGCAACGTTGGCACTGATACTTCCGAAGATATTGAAGTTTAATCATTCATATTTTAATTAAATGTATTGACCTTATTTCCCTTTACTGTGGGTTTGTCCCGGTTCCTGCTATTCCTGTTATTAAAACAATACCTTTAACTAGGAATCTTGTCAAATTCAAAAAGGGAATTATAAAATAATCCCAGTATCACAGCTGCTGGGGAGTTTCCCTGCTAGCGTTTGAATTGTGGTGCTTTTACAACCATATTTTTCCTGTTTTCTTAAAATGTTTTCTTCTCTTCTGATGTGTAGAAGATCCACCCACACATTGGGGGGAAACTGACTATCCTGAAACAAACTGTAATCCCAGTGCTCCTGTTGTGTGTACAAAGTAGCCAAATGAACAAAAAGAGACAATGTATATTTTTGTCTCTAATATTTTTTTAGTTATGTGTAATGAAGCACAGCAAAAGGCTTGGCCTCTTCCAGTGAATTCCTACCTTTCCTCCCTTGCTTCCCCCCTGTACAACCAGATTCTTTACTGTGGAAACCCTGGCTGCACTGCAGAAGACTTGGAACTGTAGTTTTCATAGCTCAGAAGAATACCATAATTTTTAATGAACTCTGAGCTGTTAAAGTGGTGATTGTGCAAGCCTGGATATGGTAAATTACTGTGGATCAGAGGCTAGAAGGGAGTGCATTGATTTTGTTGGCTTTCAGGAACAGACAGGAATACTAGTAGCATCTAAGAGACAACTTGTGCTGTGGCATTTCTTTGATCTTTTCCTTTGTAGGTTACTCCAAGATCAACAATGGCTATAGAATGGGAAATCTCCATTTTATCTTTAGAAGAGCTACAGTTTAGAGCTGTAAAACTTTACTCAAGCTCAGTCAGTTTTTGTACAATTTAATTTTAAAAAATGATTTCACAGCCATTTTAAGAAAGACCCCTCCTGATCTAATGGAATATAGAATGAGGTGGTGCATGGCATCTTCTCTTGCTTATCATTTAATTTACTTCTGATTTCCTGAATGAGCGTTGCAGATGAAGTGAAAAGCAAAAGGAAATGGTGAAGCCTGGATGCACCATAAATGGATGTTCTGCCTGCATGTGATCCTCAAATCTGTCACCTTACAGTTTCCAAGAGCTAAGACTGCAATCCTGTGGTTGCTAACTAAATTCTACTTCAGTTCTGCCTGCCTAAAATTCCTTCATAGTTCCAGATGGCAAAGTTGATATTCACTTTCTCTTCTGGACTCTTATGCAATGATGCTCCCTAGGCGTTCAGATACCATGGTGATGGGTGCATTTCTGTGATGAGTGACGTGTCCCCGCATATATATTGTATTTTGGAATCAGTTAGACAGGTGCTTTGAGAATTTTGGGCAAGAGGTGTTTGGAAGGCCTTGTTGCAGCAAGGTACCTAAGCACATGTCTAATTTTAATCATGTGAGGATTTCCATGGAAGTCGAAGGACTATGCATGTGGTTAAAGTCATGTCTTGATGAATTGGGACCTGCATGTTAAAGGCACAGGACTGGGAAACAGGAAGCCTGAATTCTATTTTGGGCTCTACCACAGACTTTATATGACCGTGGGCAAGCCCCTTTAATCGCTTTCTGCCTCAGTTTCCCCATGTGTAAAATGGGGATAAAGACAGTGACCTCCTGTGTAAAGCACTGAAGAAAAGTGCTATATAAAAGATAGATGGTATTATTATTGTAGGGTTTTATGCTGCTCCTTTCACCATAGTATCACCTCATAAAATCAGTAGCAATAATGAAATCCCTAGTGGACTTCCTGGAGTATAATTTAGCTGCCTTGTGAGGGCAGAGGGCCAAGTGATTTGAACTGGCAGTTTCTGGAAGCTTAGGAACATTAAATCAGCTGCTCCTTTAGACCATCACTGCTCTACAGGATGAGAGTGTTCTGAGGCTAAATTCCTTACTGTTTGTAAAGCACTTGGGAATACTCGGATGGACAGTGCTACGGAAGTGCAAAGTATTATTATTATTGTTATTTATTTATTATACTAGAGATCGGTGTAAAAATAATTGTTATTATTTTGCATGGACAAAGCACTCAGAAACGTTTTTGATAAACAGAGGCTGGCTTCCCCTTCCTTTTTTTTTTAATCAGTTGGAATTAATGTTTTGTTTGCAGAATAAGGAGAAACTGGAAAAGTTGAAAAGCCAAGCAGAACAGTTTTGCCAAAGACTAGGCAAATATCGAATGCCTTTTGCCTGGACAGCCATTCATTTAATGAACATAGTCAGCAGTGCTGGAAGTTTGGAGAGAGATTCCACAGAAGTAGAAATTGGCACAGGAGGTACAGTATATCCTGCATTTTCATAAGGGAATATTTGCCTGAGCTAAATCCCATTGAAGTCAATAAGAGTCTTTCTGTTGACTTCAATGGGCTTTAGATCAGGCCCTATATCCACTGCTCTTTCCTTTTATCAGCTTGTTTCCCCCGCTTCCCCTCCCCCCCGCCTTTGTAACAGTCCTGGAAAAGGGTTGAAATAAAAAGGACAAGGCTCTGGTAACAAATAGGTTTATCTTTCAAGAATTTTACAAGCAAACCATCTGTTATATGCTATTTATATCCAGGCTGCTAAGACTGAAGAGCGTTGTAGGCTGATGAACATTTTCCAAAGGAGTGGATTAATCTTTGTGAACCACACAGCTCATCTGAAACTGCTCTTCAGCATCCCCAAAACTGCCAACTTCATCATCTTTCAGCACAAGAGAAATACATAAATCTCCACACAATAAAGACTTTTATAATAGCAATAAGGCACTGGGGTGAGGTTGCTATGAAAGGAGCAGAGGTATTCAGCTGTGCTTCATAGCTTCCTGATGCCTCAGGAGTGTGATTGTCTTAGCATAACCACCTCTTCTATCATGCTTATTGCATAATTTTTGAATGCAGCAGTTATCTTCTTGTGTAGAAAATCTGCTTGAAACAAATGTAGTTCTCTTAGTTTTTATTCATTTTGTTTTAGAACGCAAAGGATCTTGGTCAGAGAGACGGAATTCCAGTATTGTTGGAAGGCGTTCATTAGAAAGGACAACCAGTGGAGATGAAACTTGCAACCTTACTAGCTTTAGACCAGCTACTCTTACGGTGACAAACTTCTTTAAACAGGTACTGTATGAGCCATGGTCATTGTGGTGTTTCCCATGACACAGTATGGTGAGGTCAGAGTAGAGCTGGTGAGGTCAGAGTAGAGCTGAGTGGATAATTCATAATGCACTGATGGAATTTAGCCTTGCTGTCCCATTCAAACAAATTGTGTTTGAGCAGCATCTGATTTCATTTATTTTACTGGAAGTTTAGTCTACAGACACATTTTTGCAAACAGTTTGTCGTGATCTGTGGATTCTTTTTCAGAAGTTCATTGTGAATAATTGATTTATGAAATTTGAGCTGTGTTAGTTTGTTCTGAGTGGCAATGTCACTGTTCCCTGACTGAATCAGTGTAACTCATAGAAATGGGTTTCCTCTGAGAATATTAGTTCATTCTTCTCCAGTGTTCTCTAATAAACTTTTAAAATTCACTGTTTTCATGAACATTCCTGCAGTATACTGGTTTGATCGAATAATCACAAAAGAAAACACAAAGCAGCCAGTGAGAATTCATTATTTTTATTTGAATGAATATGTGCCAAAGGATATTTGATGTATTTGAACTACTCTCGGCCATGAACTGTAGCATAACTTTTACCATGGTGGTTGCATCATGAGCTCACACATAATGACCTCAGTTCTTAGAGTGCCCTCAACTTCTGTTCAAACAACCCCATTCAATTCAATGGGTAATTTGCCATTGATTTCAATAAAAGCAAGACCATGCTCTGCAGTGGGAGATGAGAATGGCCAGCAGCTCTTGGGATACTCTCAGCATTTGGAGGTCAGATCCCATGGTGGAACAAATCCTTTCTGATACTGATGTCAGCTCTCCTCAGCTGAGGCTCTGGATTTCCCTGAGGAACAGCAGTGAGGGAAAGGTTTCAAAACATTTGGTATTTAAAGCTAAGAGGATGGTAAGGGAGGCTGGACTATTTTTTTAATGGAAGCTATTTTGTTTTCAATTAAGTAATGTATGAGGTAATTATTATTTGCCCCCTCTTAATTCCCATATGGACTAGCGGCTGAGGTAACTACTCTTGACCTAAAACTATATGCTTTCATTTCCCAATTTTCTTTAACGCAGTGCCTTGTTGGAAAAAAGAATTGTTATTTGAGACTCTACTTTCTATCCTGTGATGTCATGTAATAGTGCATAATGTCTATTTATGAAATAAAAATGGTATTTTCAGGACCAGTTCATTCACCACTAGGAAACTATTAAGATGTGAAAAGAGTAACTTTATCTATAGAAAAACTATTTACACTCTAGTTTTCCTGAAACATGGATTACTAGATTACTCTCATTGAAATCAGAGGGCCTGATTCTGTACTTGCATATGCTGGAGTAAATCAAGAAACTCCAGTGAAGTCAGTGCACTTACAGTGGCAGAAAACCAGTGTAAATAAAAGGAGAATCCAGTCCTATAGGATTTGGGCTTGGGCTTCCATAGGTGGTACCATTGGGGCATTGGTGAAACACTCAGTGGTAGAGCTTGTTGAAAAAAGAGGAGGTAACTTTCGCCAAAATGTTCACAAAAATGTAATCCCCTTTTCTGGTCAACATTTGAAATGTTGATGAGATTATTGAAATTGTGAATTTCCAAAATGTTCTGGCAGCTCTACTCAGTAGCATACCTGCTCTTTTGCTGCAGTTCATGTCTTTTCACCAAATTAGTAATGAATACAGGTGGTTGAAAAATGGAAAAATCAGTTTTGTGAAAAAATTTAGAAGGTGTTTCCATTTCACAGGATTTGAAACAGAATACTTTTTTAGTTTGTTTGAAGTTTTTTTAGAAAACTTTTTTTTTTATCATTTTCTAAATTTTGATCCCCCCGAACCTCTTCCCCTGTCCTTTTTTTGGCCACCAGTGCAATAAAATGATGTTCAAGGTGGTATTAGGATGTTTTTTGCTGCTCTGGAAAATGTCCTCAATTTTTGAAGGATTACCGAGTGGCAAAAGGAAAGGTGAAATTGTAACTCTGCCACTCTAACTTCTCCCAAGCCAAAGCTGAGGAAGTTTTGAAGAGTTACAAAGTGGCAAAATGAAAAGAAAGAAAAAGGACAAAGTGGAACTCCTCTCCCTGCTCTCTCTCAACCCGCTTCAAAACCCTAGACATCATTAATTCTATTGTGTTCATTGGCAAAAAGAGGAGAAAAAGGGTAGAGGGAAGAAAGGGGGGGAAATCCTTTGAAATTTCATAATTTGAAAATTCAGTTTTCTGTTTTGATGAAAACAGGAAAAAAAATTGGGGGGGGGGAAGATTTCTGAAAAAGGCTATTTTTTATTTTTAAAAGTTTCCAATAAAAAATGTCATCCAGTTCCCATAATGAAAGGCCCGTGATATTAACATAACCTGTTAATGTTCTCACCATCTTCCTCCAAGAAAGTACGTTTTAGAGTCAGGTGCAGGAAGGCAAGAGGTGATTTTTTTTTTGTTTTTGTTTAATTGCATTCTTATGTAGGCACTGTATTAAACATTTTTTTCTCTTTAACAATAGGAAGGGGATCGCTTAAGTGATGAAGATTTGTACAAGTTCCTTGCGGATATGAGAAGACCATCTTCCGTTTTACGGAGGTTGAGACCCATTACAGGTATTTAACTATCTTGATGGAAAGTGCTGGAAGGAAACCTTTTTGGATTGTATATTATAAGATTGCTTGTCTGTCCCTCACAACTCCCACCTGATTCATCCACTCGATTCCCCTTACTCATTCTCTGTTGCCCATCTGTGCCCCCCAACCCTTTATTTCAGTGCATTTGCCTCAGGACTGTGGCATCGTAGAATCTATGCATATCTTCTAGATGGGAAAATCCTACTATTGTAAACCATATCATTGGCAGTTCAGGATAGTTCCTGATTGTATATTTATTATGCAGTCCAGTATTTCAAGTGCCAAGTGATGGGTGTCTAGATGTTTCCTTTAGTAAATTACAGTAACTCCTCACTTAACATTGTAGTTATGTTCCTGAAAAATGCGACTTTAAGCGAAACCACGTTAAGCGAATCCAGTTTCCCCATACGAATTAATGTAAATGAGGGGGTTAGGTTCCAGGAAATATTTTTCACCAGACAAAAGAACACGAACAAGCGTGCGCGTGTGTAGCCACGCACACACACACACAAGTTTTAAACAAACAATTTAATACTGGTACACAGTGATGATGATTGTGAAGCTTGGTTGAGGTGGAGGAGTCAGAGGGTGGGATATTTCCCTTTCTGCTCAATAATGAACTAGCAATTGGTTGAGCCCTCAAGGGTTAACTCTCTCACTTTACAAGGCAGCAGGAATGGAGGGAGATATGTGCATTCTCCTTTAAGTACACTGCCTTGTTAATTACATCAGTTTGCTGAGACTGCAGCTGCTGCCAGCAAAGCCCTGTCCTGTGTCCCCCCTGCTCTATGGAAGATGGGGTAAGCGGGGTGGAGGAGTGGGGGGGACACCCTGACACCTCCCGCCCCTTCTTCCCCCCCTGCACAGCAAGCAGGAGTCTCAGGGAGCAGCTCCAAGGCAGAGGGCAGGAGCAGCACATGGCAGTGGGGGAGGGACACAGCTGAACTGCAGGCAGCTGCTGCACAGGGAACTTAGGGGAGCAGGGAGCTGATAGTGGGGCTGCCGATCCACCCTGGTTCCAAGCCCCCACCAGCTAGCTGCAAAGGGCTGCTCTTCCTGCAAGCAGTAGACAAAGCAGGTGGCTGCCAAACGACCATTAGAAGGGAGCATTACACAACTTTAAACGAGCATGTTCTCTAATTGATCAGCAACGTAACAAAGAAACAACGTTAACCAGGACGACTTTAAGTGAGGAGTTACTGTATTTCACAGGCTAATAGAGCTTACTCTCAGGATATTTTTCAGAAGCAAAAGGCAAGTATATTACCCTTCTCCACTCTAGAAAACAGCATTAATATGTCCATTGAATTTGTATTTTTCTTTCAATTATTGTAATAAAAATATTTTTTTCTTTAGCTCAGCTGAAGATAGACATATCTCCAGCCCCAGAGAATCCTCATTACTGTCTAACTCCAGAATTGCTGCAAGTCAAACTGTACCCAGATAGCAGAGTTAGACCTACAAGAGAGATACTGGAGTTTCCTGCTAGGGATGTGTATATTCCAAATACTACTTACAGGTAAGATTTTGAAATACATTGTAATCCCCATGAGATCAGCAGGTCCAGACCTTCCACGCTTATCGTGTGGTTTGCTGCAAAACTTGCCACAGCATCAGATCCCCTGTGCCAAAGACATCATAAAGAGTCAGATTCTTATGGCAAAAAATAAACAGCCGTAGAACAGTTCTTTGCAGAACCTAGTAGACCTAGCTGCATAAAACTCAGCAATTTGTGGGTTTTCTTACAATCTGAGTGAGCTGTCTTCATTTTTAGTCTGTATGAGGTTTGCTTGAGTTTCGGTTACAAACAAACCCAAAACCTCAAAGGAAATTTCAGTTGCAACCTCACATGTTTCATGTGGTTTTGTGTTAAAATCATAATTACTTCAGCACAGTCCCAACATGAAACCATAAACCTGAGCTGTCTTTCAGTTACATAATGAAACTCAAATCCAAATGAGTTTTACAACTGTGTCAGTAAATCGAGGCTATGGTATCAGTGAACAGGGGGTTAATTTAGCACATCTTTTGCCTCCTTTTGCTCATGTGTCATGGGGAGGTGCTGTAAAAGCAGAAGGTAGAGAATGCCTTTTGGGAAGATAGGGTCACGTGCTCAGGGGCCATAGGATTGGGTTGGACCTAGAGATGATCAAAAAATTTTCTTGTAAACATTTTTTCGATGCAAAATGTCTTTGACTGTATGAAAATTTTAGTAGAAAAAATTCCTATAATTTTGAAAAGCTATTTTTAATTGAAAAAAATGTTTAGAAGAAAAAATGTCCACCAGCTTTAGGTTCAACCCAGCCCTTTGATGTGTCAACAGAACTACATAGTGCATTACCGGTTTATCATTCAAAATACTGCACCAGAACAAAACACAAAATGTTGTGTGTTCAGTTTTCAGTATTTTGGTTTCCCTATCATTTTTCTCTCATACGCCTCCTCTACCCCCTTTTTGGTGGGGGAGGGGGAAAGGAGAAAGAACATTTATATCCTGTGAAAAATAAAAAATAAAAGAAAATCCCCCCAAAATTGGAAAAGATAAATTTAAATAATAAAAATTCTTGCAGAAAATTATTACTGTTTTTGACCAACCATAGCTCCCCTCCAAGCTGGAGGACAGATTTGCTATCTTTACTTTCAGACCATTTTAACTTTTTTGCTTTTTTCTTATAAACATTAACCCTTGAAGAGTATACATTACTGACTGAGACTGTCCTTTTCTGCTGAGTCATTTCATCAGTTCACATCTCTGCATTACATTTTAGTATAAACATTTCATAGATCTCTAATAACTGCTTAAATATATTTACAGTAAATATTTTGTTGACCTGTTCATAGCACTTCGATACATATTCAGATATAAATCCTATGGATAGTCAAACGATTAAGCTCATTAAAAATCAGTTACCTGCATTGAAATTATACTAATATCCTACAGATCATGTGGAACATCAGCATTTCACATTATAAGACTAAAACTTTTTTTGTTCCTTGTAGTATCTATAAAACAAATATTTTTATTACCAGCTACCCATTTAAACTGTTTCTGAAAGTATATTCTTTAGCTACTTCATTTATTGTACTTATATGGTCTCCCATTACCATAGTATCTGAGCATCTCGCAATCTTTAATGGATTTATCCTCCCTATACCCCTGTTGGGTAGGGACATGCTGTTTTTATGGGGAAGAGAGGATGGGTTCTTCTGGGGGAGCCAGTCCTTCTCTGCCCTTCCAAATTACTTCATTCTTCTCCTAGCTGACCATCCTGATCTGCCCTGTCTCCCCTTCGTAATCTTTTCCATCCCTTGCCTCATGCAGGAAGGCTGCTGTCATTGGGCAGCTGTGGGCCGGGCATAACTGGCCTGGCTCCAGGACCCAGCTGTTAGCTCAAAGCCTGGCCATTAGGAGTTGGTGATGGGCTGCTCACTCACGAGTCTCACTTTCAGAGACTGGGGGTGGGGGAGGAAGCCGATGAGGTGGGGAAGGGCTTGTTTTGCAGCTGTGATAGAGGAGAAAGGAGACGGAGGCAGTGAAAGTAGGGAGATGAAAACCCATCTCACATTCTTCATCATAGAACACTAAGGGTCAGATGTTGGGGTTCTAAAACATCGGACTCTACCTGTCAGTCAAGACCCTCTCTCCTGCTAGAAGATTTTTACCAAGGAGTTGAACTCTTGGGCTCTTTCGCTAGAAGTAGTTAGTGCTGAAGTCCATTGAAAGTGTATCTAAACTGCAGGTCTGACACGTGTTTTAGCCCAACCCCATCTTACCATCCATACATAAAGCCCTTGACACATGTATTTAGATCCTCAGAATACATGCTTGCTAGCGTGTCCAGGAGTATAGGTACCCCTGTACCTATGTCTTACTGAAATTTGTGTCTCAGACCACCCACTTTGCAATGAGGATGAAGCTAAAGCATGTGTTGCTGAGGTCATGTTTGAATAGGCCGCCAATGCTATCCCACAATTCCCATGGCTTATATATCTTTCTGCAGACCCAACTTCCTGCTCCTCAGGGGCAGGACATTTCTCATTGTTTTTTTTTCCAGATGTTTGGCAGTCTTCTATGGGTCTAGTGACTGGGGCTTAACCAGGAAGTAATGACTTTTCTTGACTGGACAGTGAATTGGTTTGTGTCTCTGGATTAGTCTATTAGCGGTGAAAAAACCCAACACCAGACCACTGAAATTGGAGAGCTTCCAAGTACAGTCTAAATAGCAGTACAGTAGATTCATCACTCAGGCATTGTTACAAGGGGCAGGGACAGGGGAGTGAGGATCCAGTCCTGGTGGTAGGATGGAACAGCACAAGCTGGTGGGAAAAACTGGTGAGACAGCCCTGCTGTTTCTTGTCTTCCAAGGATGTTGGCAGATGGGGACTTGAGATTTGCACAGAGAATAAGCAGCACCAAGACAGTTCTTGTCCTCATCCCCAGACTACCTTTCCTCTAAGCTGGTGTGGGTCTCCTTGGCCTCTGTGAACTAGACAAACCTCTGTATGGGTTCAACCAAACTCACCGAAAACTAACCCTTTAAGAATTCTTTTATTCATGGTATATATTAGTTTCTTTTTGGAAATCTTCTTTATTGATTTTTAAAGTGTCATACAAACAACTAAACATTTCCAGTACATCGGTACAAATGTGCAGTTTCTCTTGATTGAGCATCTTACTTTGATTGTAATAAGTGCATTTCAACAGCATCAGACATCTAATTAAATTAGTTAGTTCATTGTTTCTCTGAAATTTGCTAATTATATTCAACCTTGTTTTTATTTTGACAAAATATAGTTTAAAAAGGTGGGGGGGTTTTAATGGCTACAGATGTTAAAATGCTACAAAATTCATACAGTACAGTTGTTAGGTAAGATACAAAAGTCAATATGACTCAAAATAATCACATTCTACGGCTCCTACCATGCAAACACTTACACGCTTAACCGTAAATATGTGAATAGTCCCATCTTTGCGGGTTCCTCCTTTGAGTAAATTTATGCAAATCTGTGTTTGCAGGATTGTGACTGAAGGTCCTGCAGGATCTTATAGTCCTTACCAATGTGATTAGTTGAGTTGCACCATTGACTTCAGTGGAATTTCTTGCATAGGTACAGGTTGCAGGATTGATTTCTATTTATATTAAAGGCAATCGGTCTGTTTCAAACACAGCACTTTGTCCGGTTGATTCCATAAATAAGGAATACCAAAAGGTAATTTAAGGGCTTGATTCAAAGCCCATTGAAATCCATGCGAAAAACTAATGGCAGTCTTTGGATCAGGCCCTAATAATTATTCTACAAAGTATAATATAAAAGGTTAGTTTCACATTTTGGATTTCCAGATGTGCTGCTTTCATAGTTGCATGAGCACAACAATGAAGATCTGGCTCAAGATGCACAGCTGGATGTTCACATTTAAATACGTAGTACCATAAAATGCAGAATTATTTGCCAATTCATTCATGCATAGACACATTCCAAGACTATAGTACTTGAGTCTAACATGAAAGTAAGTTACTTTATAAAGTAAAATCTTTTTTTCTTCAAAACTAATACTTAAATGTTTTCTGTAGAATTCTGTCAGTCTGTTATTTTTATTGAAACATTTTGAATATTCTCCTCTACATAATCCAGAAACGAATGCATTGGCCTGAAAATTCTTGTCCACATGCAATAGAGTCTGCCAAAATATCAAAAACACATCCAGTTTCTAGGCACTAGTGTTCAAAGGTGGGGATGCGTACGTAGTTTTGAACTTGAAATATATTTATATTGGAAAAAATAATAATATTCTCAAAATATACCATAAGACCATAGCAGACTCCTCCATGTTGTATCATTGAGTAGTATGGAATATATGTAATGCCTTGTATTTGGGCATTTAGCCCTGATTATTAGTTCATATTATGTTTAATGTTCAGTGAATATGTGTTCAATTAAACACATCAGAATGAGGTTTCACTCAAAACTTTCTAAATCCGTAGGATGTATCATCAGTTTGGTTGACTTGATCAAATAGAATCTTCCTTTCTGAGTCTTCCAGGATATTCCTCGTCTCCTTTCCAGTTTTCCTTCTGATCTTGGTTTGATATATTTTCCATTCAGATTGGTTTCCCCACACGCTCTGTGCCACCAGCCACCTAAAAACAATATTTTGGTGTCATTTAGTCCAAATTTTACTTTTCCTGTTTGACGTCAGAAGGTTAGTCACTGATTTGGACTGCATTTTCAAAATAAGGCTTCTCTAGGCCTGATCCAACTCCCATTGAGGTCAATGGAAGACTCTCTTTTGGTTTTTTGGTTTTTAAATGTATAGGAAAATTCTACCTTTGTCCTAGATATAGCTATCCGTTTTGAGGTGAATATGACTTATTTTGTACATTTTAAAGTGGACCAAAATCAGGCTTTAAATGGAAACTCGGCTGCAGGCTTAACTATAGTCTGCTGCATATGATAGAGTGGAGTTAATATGCAGTCCATCTTCTGTTTTGTGCGAGAAGGGATTACATGTAGAAAGCC